AGTGCACGTAATGATTTGAAGCGAGAGTTGTGCTTCGTGTGGCTCCTTATTAAGTGCACGTATGATTTTGGTGCGAGAGTTGTGCTTCGTGTGGCTCCTTATTAAGTGCACGTGATGATTTTGGTGCGAGAGTTGTGCTTCGTGTGTCTCCTTATTAAGTGCACGTAATGATTTTGAAGCGAGAGTTGTGCTTCGTGTGGCTCCTTATTAAGTGCACGTAATGATTTTGATGCGAGAGTTGCTTCGTGTGTCTCCTTATTAAGTGCACGTAATGATTTTGAAGCGAGAGTTGTGCTTCGTGTGGCTCCTTATTAAGTGCACGTGATGATTTTGGTGCGAGAGTTGTGCTTCGTGTGGCTCCTTATTAAGTGCACGTATGATTTTGCGAGAGTTGTGCTTCGTGTGGCTCCTTATTAAGTGCACGTAATGATTTTGGTGCGAGAGTTGTGCTTCGTGTGGCTCCTTATTAAGTGCACGTGATGATTTTGATGCGAGAGTTGTGCTTCGTGTGGCTCCTTATTAAGTGCACGTATTGATTGCGATGCGAGAGTTGTGCTTCGTGTGGCTCCTTATTAAGTGCACGTAATGATTTTGAAGCGAGAGTTGTGCTTCGTGTGGCTCCTTATTAAGTGCACGTAATGATTTTGGTGCGAGAGTTGTGCTTCGTGTGGCTCCTTATTAAGTGCACGTAATGATTGCGATGCGAGAGTTGTGCTTCGTGTGGCTCCTTATTAAGTGCACGTAATGATTTTGGTGCGAGAGTTGTGCTTCGTGTGACTCCTTATTAAGTGCACGTAATGATTTCGATGCGAGAGTTGTGCTTCGTGTGGCTCCTTATTAAGTGCACGTAATGATTTTGAAGCGAGAGTTGTGCTTCGTGTGGCTCCTTATTAAGTGCACGTAATGATTTTGGTGCGAGAGTTGTGCTTCGTGTGGCTCCTTATTAAGTGCACGTAATGATTGCGATGCGAGAGTTGTTGCTTCGTGTGGCTCCTTATGTGCACGTCCGAGAGTTGTGCTTCGTGTGGCTCCTTATTAAGTGCACGTAATGATTTTTGGTGCGAGAGTTGTGCTTCGTGTGGCTCCTTATTAAGTGCACGTAATGATTTTGATGCGAGAGTTGTGCTTCGTGTGGCTCCTTATTAAGTGCACGTAATGATTTTGTGCGAGAGTTGTGCTTCGTGTGCTCCTTATTAAGTGCACGTATGATTTTGATGCGAGAGTTGTGCTTCGTGTGGCTCCTTATTAAGTGCACGTAATGATTTTGAAGCGAGAGTTGTGCTTTCGTGTGGCTCCTTATTAAGTGCACGTAATGATTTTGAAGCGAGAGTTGTGCTTCGTGTGGCTCCTTATTAAGTGCACGTAATGATTTTGAAGCGAGAGTTGTGCTTCGTGTGTCTCCTTATTAAGTGCACGTGATGATTTTGTTGTGCTTCGTGTGGCTCCTTATAAGTGCACGTAATGATTTTGATGCGAGAGTTGTGCTTCGGTCTCCTTATTAAGTGCACGTAATGATTTTGGCGAGAGTTGTGCTTCGTGTGTCTCCTTATTAAGTGCACGTAATGATTTGATGCGAGAGTTGTGCTTCGTGTGGCTCCTTATTAAGTGCACGTAATGATTTTGGTGCGAGAGTTGTGCTTCGTGTGGCTCCTTATTAAGTGCACGTAATGATTTTGGTGCGAGAGTTGTGCTTCGTGTGGCTCCTTATTAAGTGCACGTAATGATTTTTGGTGCGAGAGTTGTCTTCGTGTGGCTCCTTATTAAGTGCACGTATGATTTTGAAGCGAGAGTGTGCTTCGTGTGCTCCTTATTAAGTGCACGTGATCGAGAGTTGTGCTTCGTGTGGCTCCTTATTAAGTGCACGTAATGATTTTGAAGCGAGAGTTGTGCTTCGTGTGGCTCCTTATTAAGTGCACGTAATGATTTTGGTGCGAGAGTTGTGCTTCGTGTGGCTCCTTATTAAGTGCACGTAATGATTTTGAAGCGAGAGTTGTGCTTCGTGTGGCCTCCTTATTAAGTGCACGTATGATTTTGAAGCGAGAGTTGTGCTTCGTGTGTCTCCTTATTAAGTGCACGTATGATTTTGATTGTGCTTCGTGTGGCTCCTTTATTAAGTGCACGTAATGATTTGATGCGAGAGTTGTGCTTCGTGTGGCTCCTTATTAAGTGCACGTAATGATTTTTGAAGCGAGAGTTGTGCTTCGTGTGGCTCCTTATTAAGTGCACGTGATGATTTTGAAGCGAGAGTTGTGCTTCGTGTGACTCCTTATTAAGTGCACGTGATGATTTTGATGCGAGAGTTGTGCTTCGTGTGGCTCCTTATTAAGTGCACGTATGATTTTAAGCGAGAGTTGTGCTTCGTGTGGCTCCTTATTAAGTGCACGTAATGATTTTGAAGCGAGAGTTGTGCTTCGTGTGTCTCCTTATTAAGTGCACGTAATGATTTTGGTGCGAGAGTTGTGCTTCGTGTGGCTCCTCCTTAAAGTGCACGTAATGATTT